ACGGCGGGGAGCGGCAGACAAAGCCCCATCTGTGTCTGGTCTGTGTCTGTATTTACAGCCCGTCAGGTCAGCAGCGATATTAGATTCTTGTAGGAGCTCAAACCCTACTATGAACTGTGAATTTGCAAGATCTAGGTTGCAGATTCCTTTGAATCATCCTCAAACCACTGCCACCACCCCTGGCCCATGGAAAACGTGTCTTCCGTGAAATCGTTTTGCGTCAAAAAGGCTGGGGATCACCATTTCCAGAGGGCCGGCCCGCCAAGGTTAGGTCATCTCACAGTGGTGAAGGCCCCACCTGCAGGCCCTGCTGCACACACGTGAAGGGCACACTCCCACTCTCCGCTGTGAGCTCTCACACTCGGCCAGCGCAGTGCCAAACACCAGACCTCTGGGAACCAGTCCAAACGGCTAGGACTCTGGGACCACCGGCACTAGCCGGTCCCCGTGCTGCCTTTCTGAGGGGCCTGTCTCACACTTTCCTCCCCTTACAAACCCCACGCGGGCTCCTGCGCCAGCTGCTCCCTCCTCCTGCCCTCTTGCCCCGCTGCTGCAGCCTGTGGACCTGCCTGCCTTAGCAGCCACCTGGGCCGGGAGCCGTGCGTGATGGAGCCCTTCCTTCCTCATTGTCATGGTCAATTCTGAGCCTCTTCCCCCACCTGATCAAACCAAAGACTGAGCCCATTAGGCCGCTGGGGATGGGCGCTGGGCACTTTGCCTCTTCCCACCAGAGTTCAGCCTGCAGGTGGCAGAGGGAGGCTGGGGTCCCCAGTTGCTGCCTCCTGGGCAGCATGTGCAGTGCTCCTTCCTCTCACCGAGGATCCTGGGCCAACTCACAGTTGTCTACAGGCCTAGGAAGACATAATAGGTGGGCAGGGGCGTTCATGTGATCGTCATCTGACAGAGAAACTGTGAATAGATGGTGAGAAGAAAGAAGAGAATCCCTGCTCAGGACTAGCACGGGCAGGGCGATTATCTTGGTTTTGTTCAGCCCTCTCCACGCCACATACTCCTCAAAGACCCTGGGGGTCACAGTGAGCACCAGCACGGAACACGGTAGGTGGGCGCCACAGCTTCCTATGCTGAGCTCAGTGTCTGTGAGCCTCATTCCTATGGTAATAGAGGGCACCTGGCTCACTGCCAAGATGACATGAGAGGACGCCATAGCCCAGAGTGACACACCGAGTGCCGGGACCACGTGGGGGATGAGTGCTGGAGCTAAGGGACGAGGGGAGAGGAGCCCGTGTGTCGGGATCTCACACTTACTCAAATTGTGTCCGAACAGCAGGAAGGGGGCAGTGGGTGGGTCTTCCTTGCAGGAATAGGTGTGTATCCTGCCTAGTGTATTATGTACCAGTTTCCAAAAAACCTGCAGGATGCAGGAGGGAAGGTGTCCCTGAGCAGAGCTAGGGAGGCCAGGGAGAAGCCAAGGGAAGGGGATCCAGGCTGGAGCTGAAGACAGCAGAAGCAGAAAGGGGTTTGGTTTGGGGTCTCAGCAGGCTGGGGAGTCCTGAGCCTCTGGAAGAGAGAGAAAAGAATGGGTCACAGCAGAGCCACTGCGATTGGAACCAGGGAGAAGAGACAAAGACCTTACTGGGTCACATAGCTCTGGAAGGGGCGCTGATCAAGGTCCCTGCACAGGCTGCGGAGAAGTTGAGCAAGGTCCCCAAAGCGACACGTTGGACTTTTCTGTTTATGAGGATGAGGCAGAAGAATGTGGTACGGGCCAGAGTGGACAGAGCTCGGGGCTTGGCCAGTCACAGATGGCTGGGGAACCATGCCTGGGCTGAGGGTGGGCTCATGTGATGACCACAGTCATCACTACTGTGGTGGGACCAGCCCACAGGGTCCCGGTCTGCTCCTCTGTCCCCTCTCCAGGCATTCTAAACACTGGGCTCATCCATGTTCTTCTGACACCAAATGACAGATAGTGCAGACCCTGTAGTCACAAGCACACAACCGTTACAGAAGGCTTAAACGGGACCACCACACCAGCCTCAGCAGCAGCGCCCACTTTGTTTGCAGCCTGAGATCTGCATGCCCTTGCCCTCATTTGCCTCTAGCCCCCAGGGCCTCAGAGCCATGGGGGGGTCTTTCAATGTCTGATCAGGGCCTCTTGGTGAGGGGGTGGGGAGGATTCAGACCAAGGGTTTGATTTGGAAAGGGCAGAAGGGAGGGCTGGAGTCCCCAGGCCCAGGTGGCCTAGAGTATGGTCAGCAGCTGCCAGCTCTGAGAGCAGAGAGGTCGCCATGGGGAGGTCGGGGGGTTAGAGTGGAGGGGCCCAGGAGCTGGACTTGCCACAAGATGCCCCAGATGTTCAGACACTGACCTTGGCCCTAGAACCACTGTGGGACCAGGTCAGTTTAGCTTCCCGGGCCAGGGCATCAAAGATAAAGCAAGCTGCAGTGAGGCACCTTTATTCACCGGTGACAGGGCCTGGGTTGATGTCTGATCTTCTCCAGGGTTTTAAAGCTTGTGGTAAAACACACCATGATTTTTTAAAATAAAAAATTCTTGCAGAGTCTGTGGTTTTATGTCCATCATCACGCATGAGTCTTTCACTATGAAATCGAACTCCTGAGTCCAATCCCATCCGAAGGAAACCAAGAAACTCTGAGCAGCCCACAAGCAGACCAAGGGTGGAGGCAGGTCTCCGGGCAGCACGGCAGGCAAGGCGAGTGGGGACAGTCTGCAGGTGCCTCGCTGAGCCACCCTCAGCTTCTAAAGACGACTTCCTGTCCCCAGGGATCTCTTGGCACCCCTCTCCTTTGCCACGGACCCAGCATCGTAACATCGGGCCCCTGGCTGACATCCACCTGCATAGCTGACCAACAGTGCAGGGCGTCTGACCTCAGCAACCTGTCCCCACAGCCAGATTTCCCTGGGGATGTCACCTCTCAGAATGGGAACGGGTCAGAGGAGGCACCATGGTTCTCAGCACAGCTGGCAGGCTTGGCTCTGCAGTTCCAAGGCTGTCTTCGTGGTCCCAGCTTTGTGCTCCTGGCCTCCCTGGGGCCACTGCCATTTATCCCACGTTGGGCAGCCCTAGAAGCCGAATCCCACCCTCCTGCACCTGCACAAAGGCTCCAAAACCTGACTCTAGGGCTGATCGTATTGTTTTGTTTGGCTAGACGTGAGAGGAGGGTGCCAGGGTGTGTAATTAGCCATTGTGACTGTCCCTGGCCTCTTTCTGAAGTGGCTTTGTTTGAAAGAACAATGTTATCGCAGTGGGAAGTGAATGCCCCAAAAATTGGAGCCAGGAGACCGCTTGCCTCCTTCCCAGGATCCTGGACCAGCCCTGGCCCTGACCCAGTCCCCAGTTCCCCAAGAAAGACACGTTGCTCCTTTGGACTATAAGCACAGAGCCTAGCCCCTCCCCGAGCATCTTTCCCAAAGCCCACCCCCGCCTTCGGAGTCCCCACAAGCTCCCTGGCTCCTGTGTCCTGTGCTCCCACCTGTGCCCCTGTGTGGACTCCGCATACACCACTGTCCCTCTTTACCCTCTCTTCTACCCCATCATCCGGTCAGCATGACCGCTAGGATATGCCCAAACCCACCTGCTCCCGGGGCCACCTGCCTCCCTCATCCCCAGGTCTCAGAGGGCTCAGGACACAGGCCACGGACTTCAAGCCCCAGACTGAAGTCCTGACTGCTCCCTGGTCCCGCCTCTCATTGAACCTCCCTTCTGCTGCTGGACTTTCCACCCCGTGCAGCTGCACGTGTGTGTGCCTGTGTATATCCATATGCGTGCATTTACGTGCCTGAGGTATCACATGTGTTCTGGTTTGTGCATATCTGTATCAGCCTGCACGTGCAAGTGGATGCAGTTTTGCTTTGTGAGTATATCTGTGCCTCTGTGTGTGTGCGTGTATGTGTGTATGTCAATGTGCTTGTGTCTGTGTGTGCGTGTCTGTCCTGTGGGCATGTTTGCGTGTCTGTATGTGGACACATGTATCATTGTGTTTGTCTGTGTCTCTGGGTGTGCACATCAGTGTCTATGTGTGCATCTGTGTGTGCACATCTGTGTGTATACATCCCTGGGCAAGCATGCGTGGCAACCCTCCTACTCTCCAGTTCTTACTCCGAACAGAGGCGGGCAGTGATTCCATACGCACCAAGCCCCAGAGCCTCCCAAGACCCCCAAGGCCCACTGTGCTGCTTCTCTGCCTGGGGTGTGTCTGCCCCAGTGGGTCATGACGGGGTCAGAATTCCCTTCCTCGGGAGGTCTTCTGGGTGCTCCTGAGTGGAGTGAGTGATTCTGTTGTGTCCCCCCTCACACGGTTCCTTAGACACCAGTGACTCTGCCCATCTCCACGGGGAGGGAAGTGGGGTGTCTGGTGGCATGTGCTACCCACTCGGGGGCAGAGAAGCATCACCGCAAGGGTGTGTCACTGGTGCGTGAGCAGTGCTGCCCACGAGGCTGCTCACAGCCAGTCCAAGGCCGGAGGGTCACAGAAGAGGACAGTGCTTGGGAACTTCGCTGCCATTTGACAGAGCGAGCTTGTCTGGAGAACCTCCTAAGAAATAGTCATGAGCTCAACTGAAAACTCTCTTCCATTTCCATGTCCATTTCTTAGAAAGTCATTTTCTTGTATATTGTCAGCAGAATGATGTCCTGAAGGTGCCTGTGCCTTGGCGTACAGAACCTGGGGACATCTGGGTCAGCTGGCAGAGAGAAACTAAGGCTGCCTCAGATGGAATTAAGTCTGCGCTGGGGCCCCTTGGGGTGGCAGGTTGTCCTGCATCACCCAGGGGACTCAGGACACTCATGAGTCCTTAGAAGTGCCAGCGGGAGGCTGGGCTCCCAGTTCAGAGAGGATGCGATGCAGAGCAGAATCAGTTTGGTGCAATGTGAGGGAGCCAGCTGCACACCGCAGGTGTCATGATGGAGGGGCCTTGCCAAGGAAGGACAGGGGATGGGCTCCTCCTGAGAGCCTCCGGAGGGGCACCAGGGAGTTGGATAGAGACAGCGGGCCTGTGGAGTGTGCACAGCAGCACACCAGCCTGCTCATACTGTGCCGCTGCCTGCCCAGAGAGGCGAACAGAGGCGGGTGGCCAGAGCTGCTGTGCAAAAGAGGCCGGGGATGCGTGCTGTGGGAGGTCCTCAGCCTGCCGCACAGGACAGCAAGAAGATATCCGCGTTAAGCACGTCCAGCTCACCTTACAGAGGGTTCTGCATCCGGGCCTGAGAGGGCCCTGTGTGTGTGTGTGTGTGTGTGTGTGTGTGTGTGTGTGTGTGTGTGTTTCTTTTGTGTCCACAGTGTCTATGAATGGTGATGTGTCTGCATATCTCTGTGCACCTGTGTGTATCTTTATGCAATGGTTTGTTTTTGCATGTCTCTTTGTCCATGTTTATTATGTATGTCTGTGCATGTTGGTGTCTTTGTGTGTCCCTGTGTGTTTATGTGTGTCTGCATGTCCCTGCATATCTGTGCTTGTCTCTGTGCATGTTCATGTGTTTTTGTGTTGGTATCCATGAGGGCCGGCGTGTCCCTGTCTGTGTGTATGTCTGAGGGTGTGTCTACATGTGTTCGCCTCTGAGTATCTGTGCATGTTCGTAGCTGTGCATGTCTTTGTGTGAGTGTGTGTGTGCGTGCATCTGTGTCAGTGTGTGTGTATGTTGGCTGTGGTGTCATAACAAATTACCATGAAGTTGCTGATTTAAAATATCACAGGTTGAATCACAATTTAGAGTCCATGTGACATCAAGGTGCCGAGAGAACTGAGAGTGCATATCCCCACCGGCTGACACTGGCAGGCCCAGCCCGCCAGGACCACCTACAGTCTGGCCAGGGTGCCTCTGAGGCCCACACAGGCTCAAGCCCAGTTGTCCAGATCTCCTGGGGATGGATAAAGAACAGATCAATTAATTAAATTTTATTTCTGCTTAAATTACATAGAATTCATTTCTTCTACTTGGAGTCAACAACTTTAATGGGTCCAGATGTCTATTTTTAAAAATCCTGCAGAGCTGCTCAGAACTCAGGAGAGCAACAGGCTCCCCAGGGTTGTTAGACTGGGTCAGTAAGAGACTGAAAAGTAGTGGAGAAACACTATGGAGGGAGACAGGACCGCAAGACAACAAAGGAGAAGAGAGACCCCACAGGAGGTGGTGGAGAGCTGGAAAACCTCAAAACATGGTCTCAAATAAGTGCGTATAAATGTACGGCCACCACACGCAGATTCTATTGGTTTTTTGTTTTTGTTTTTGTTTTTGTTTTTTTTTGGTACCGGGAATCAAACTCATGACCTCAGGGTGGCCAGGCAAGCACTTATGCCAATGAGGTATATCTCTGGCCCACCACACCCAGATTCACAAGAGTCAACAGGTGGAACTATTACCAAACCAAGCCCGTTTTTATTTTTCTTTTTTCTTTTTTTTTTTTTGTCTTTTTGAGACAGGGTGTCACTATGCAGTTCAGGCTGGCCTCGAACTCACTTTGTAGCCCAGGCTGGTCTCAAACTCACAACAATCCTCCTGCCTCAGCCTCCTGAGTGCAGGGATTACAGACATGCACCACCACGCCCGGCTCAAGCCCGTTTTTCTTGCAGCCCAGAAACACTGAGCTTTGCAGAAGATAAACCGTTATCCATGAGGCAGCCAAGCATAAAGAGATGAGAGCCCAGGTGTCAAATCTGCTTCACAGAGGATGCAGTTTGGGGATATTAATGGGCAAAGAAACGTGGATATTTCTTATCACCCAAGGAGGCTTCTGCTTAATTTATGTAGAAATCACAAAAAATGCGAAGTGCAGCGTCTGTCAGTGCATCAGCTCTTAGCATTAGCAGCCTCGGTGCCAACACTGCTCGACACTAACGGCTCTTAGTCCTGTCGGGTCAGCGGAGGACTGTCCTCTTTGGTTGAGACAGAAATCATGAAAGGCAAAGAAAGAGCATCTGAACATGGCTGTCTTGGGGCTGCACAATAGTGAGCAAATCGGATTTGCCGTGGTGGCTGCAGAAGCAGCATCAAGGAAGGTGGTTGCTATGCCTACAAGGTTGGCATGGTGAGGCATAGTGATGGTTGCTACAGCAGCCCCACAAGTACCAGTGGGGTCAGTCTTTCTATGGCAATGGCCGTGTTGGAGGCAGGCATGACGGTAGTAACGGTGGCCACACCAGTGACCCCTCGGCGCCTGGAGACCACAGCTTGGAGATCAGTGCTTCTGCTATCTGACTCTGAAAGTGGCAGCAGCAGGCACAGGAAGCAGGGCGACTATCTCAGTGTCCTTGCTACCTCCACCCCATCCCACAGGCCTGGCTCTATCACCTGCGAACCCCAGTGTGGTGGTGGCTGTCATCAGATCAGCCAGACATGGGTGAAGGGAGCATTGTCACATCCGCTGCCATCACCCCCGCTGACCTGGGGTCTAGACCTTTCAAAACAGGAAGAAAAATGGAAAACTCCTCTGGGGAGGATCCAGTTGTTCTTCTGTCTCAGGGCAATTGATGGGGCGTGCGGGCTTTGATTGGAGGTGAGGAACAGTAATTGCTGTTGCTCTCATGTATAATCAATCTTCGTGGCTCTTCACCTCGTTTAGAAAGCGGTAGTCACATTACCATGATATAAGGGTGGAGTGCCTAGGCCCTGACATCAGCAAAGTTCATTAACCAGGCTCCTGCACGGGCCCAGCTGAAGAGCCAGGGGTTTCAACCAGACTGCCCTCCAAAGAGAGCAATAAAACTTAAGGCCACAGCATTTGCTGAGCCAACAACTCTTGATCCACGCCTTTCTTGAGGGAAAGTCCTAAGGGGAGAATATGAGGTCAGAGGGACAAAGACAGACCCAGACCGCATGGGTGGGTAGAGGCAGCAGAACCGAACCCTGTCTGATCGGCAATTCTGCCTTATGTAACACGAACTTAGGTACACCTGCTCTAAACAATTCTCCAGCCCCAACAAAAATTCTCTGTGCCCTTAAATCGATTGGGTTAGTTTTCTACTTTAGCAACTATATTAATCTGAAGCTTGAATACTTCCTGGGACTTTTTGGAAGACTGCAGATTCTCCAAGCATAAACTGATGATCGCAGAACTCTTCCCACAGAAAAAATGTGCATGACAGTACATCTGCACCTGATTTTAGCATGATCTGAGCCCAACCGCCTGTCTTTGTGCTTCCTAACAGGAATGCGAATCAGAAATCATAATTTTAAGTTCAGGCTTTTGGGTTAAATTTGGTCTCCTATCTTGCCATAGCATACCTGAAGTGGAGCAAACCCGCTGTCTCTGGATTTGTCTGATTTTTCTGTCTTGGCCTTCTGCAAGAACTAAGAAACCAGAAGACATACTGAGGGAAAGGGACAGCTGAGGTGCCAGGTGCCCCACTGTCCACAGCAGAGGCAGAGGGGTTGAGGCACACTGGCACCCTGATGCAGAGGAGACGCCCAGGCCCCAAAGGGTCGGGGGTCCCAGACCTTACCCATGATCCACAACTCCTTTGGTAAAAATGAATGCCCAGAAATGTCTGTTCTCTGACGCAGGTTGTTCTTGAGGATACACACGTTAGGCTGAAGGATCCAGGAACCCAACTGGCAGCTTTTATTTCTGGATGGATGATGGTAGTCGCTTTGGGTTGTTTCCAGGAATGCACATTCATTCTTCATTCAGTTTTGTGGATCATGTGGGCTTCTTTTCAAATAAGTAGACAGCCATCCCAGTTTTATTAGAATATAGCCTCAGTGGGCCCAGAACACCTGGATATCCACCTGCAACAACGTGGTTCTGCACACAGACCCTGAACCCTTCACAAAAATTAACTCAAAATGTACCACAGACTCACGTATAAAATGCAAAATAAAAATTCCTAAAAGTTGACATAAGAGGAAATCCAGCTGGTCCTGGGTTTGACTATGACTTTTTAGATAAAATACCAAAGCTAGAATATGTGAAAGAAATAATTGATAAGCTGGATGTCTTTAGAATTAAAAATTTCTACTCTGCAAGAGAAATACTGTCAGGAGAATAAAAAACAGTCATAATGAGGGGAAATATTAGCAAAAGACAAATCCTAATGAAAAGTTGCTACCCAAAACATACAGACACTTAAAACTTAGCAATAAACAAAACCTTGCTTATAACATGTGCCCCAAACCCTAACAGAAAGGAAGATACACAGGCAGCAAACAAGTACCTGAGAAAATCTCCCACATACGCCATCAAGGAAGCGTAAATAATAAAACCACAGCGGAAACCACCACACACACCCGTTCCGGTGGCCCCAGTTCACAAGACTGCCAACGCCAAATGCTGGCAAGAATCTGGAACAACATGAATGTGTAGACATTGCTCTTGGGAGTAAAAACACTATGGCTGCTTGGAGGACAGCATGGCAGTTTCTTAAAAACCAAAACATACTTTTACTGTATCATCCACAATCACTTGGATTTTACACAAGAAACCAAACACATATGTTCACACCAAGACTTGCACTTCAGTATTTATAAGAGCCTCACTCATAATTTTCCCAACCTGGAAACAACAAGTGTGCCCTCCCTTCAGTAGGTTGGGTAAATGACCATGGAGTATTATTTAGCACCACTCAAAGACATGGGCGATCAAGCCAAGAAAAGACATGGAGAAAACTGAAATGCTTCCCACTAAGTGAAACAAGCCACTCTGAAAAGGCTGTGCTGCAGGATTCCAGCTCTATGACACTCTGGAAGAGGCCAAACTCGGGGGACAGCAAAAGATCACTGTTGCCAAGGGTAAGGCAGGAGGGATAAGAGGGGGAGCCCAGAGGGCCTTTAGGGCAGTCTGTATCATACTGTGGACGATACTAGAATGATAGACATGTGTCATCTGTCGAATCCCATAGAATACCCACCACTAAGAGGGACCCCTCCTGTCAACTGAGGCCCCCCGCTGGTGATGCTGTGTCAGAACAGGGCTGTCCGTCATGACCATGGACCACACTGGAGGCCACGTGTGTGTAGGGGTTGGGGGGTGTGGGTACTCTCTGCTCTTTCTGTTCAGTGTACCTGCAACCTAAAAGTAGGTGTGAAAGCAAATGGGCCATCTCTTCTTCCCTGCCTTTCCTCTGCTACATTAAGTAACACCACAGTGAGTGCTTTTGAGCAGCACCCCGTCCTAAGTTAGAATTACTTCCTTCAGAGCTGCCTTTTGGAATTAGAAGAGCCAGCTAAAAACCCAGCTAACAGATACATCTCCTGCGCAAACCCTGCTGACCCTTCCTCCTGGCATCCCCGGTCTGTCTGGCCACACATTCCATCTGTCTCCAGCGACCATCTGCCCATCATGCAGTCGAGGACCTGCCCTCTGGATCAGGCACAGACACACGGGCCTGCGTCTGTGGCTATCAGACGGCCTGGGAGCCCTGCGGGGAGACAAGCGGGCTGTGGTCAGAGAAGGAGGCCCCGGCTACCAGGCGGGAGAGTGGCTGAAGCACTGTAGGTTGGAGAGGCCTCTGGCTACGGCCAGCTTTGGTCCTCACCACTGGAGGCCATGAGTGGAGCCTTGAGTGTCTTCAGGGAGGTGATCTCAGGTGCGACCCAGCTTCTGAGAGGAACAATCTTGAGACAATCTCAGCCGATGGTAGACTATCGCTAGGGCAATGTTTCCTGGTTACCACAGTGACACACATGCCTACAGAAACTAGCAGCACCTTAGGAAGGACCTTGTACCGAGCCCGCCACCGGTATTTCTCCTCCCTCCTGAGCTAGATGTTCCCCTCCCTACTTGTCCTGTCTCTTCCTCCTGGCTGCGTCCCAGGGTCCTTGTTCGGGGCATTGCTGCGGTCAGTCTCTCTTAGCGATGCCTTGTAGGCTGGGATCGAGCCTCCTCGCCCATCCCAAATCCACACCGAGCCTCTTGTCCTCCCCTTCCAGGGCTCTTTGCCTCGTGTGGCTCTGGTCCCTGCACCCAGCCCAGGCTGCACTCCCAGGGGCCAAGGTCAAATGTCCTCGAGATAACTTTAGTGCCAAACAACCGCAGAGAGACCATTTTGGCTTCATTTCAACTGCACGTCAGAGTCGCACACTCTGGGATCCAATGAGCTGTTTTAGAAACCTGCACTTTGCTTCATCTTGCTCACATTCCTCCCCAGGCCTTGGGTCCAAGCCACTCCCTCCTTTCAAGCCACGTTTTTCCCTTTAAAAACCGCACTGCTCCTCCGGCTTACCCGCAGTCCCCTTGACAGTGTACTCTGATCTAAATAAACTTCCGTCTGCATCTTCACTCTGGTCACGGTACATTTGTTTATCGTCCGTGTCACCGGCCTGTGCATTGCTGTCCCGCGCAGCATTTTGGTGTCCCGCGTGGGCTCTCTTTCTCTCTGTGTGTCCTCTCTCCTTCGTTCTGGTGCTTGTACACGGTTGGCGCAGAGGCCTCTGGGCCGCTGCCAGTCTGTCGCTGGCTGAGGTGGCTCCCAGTGGGGTTCAAAGGCCCCCGGGTTGCGACCCTGATTGCCACCACCCATCGGGTATGGCGCGGCGCTCCTTTGGGCCCTTGCGGAGAGGCTTCTGCCCCGTGTGCGACTGATGGACCTTGACCAGGGCCACACTCCGGAGGAAACTGAAAGCAGTGGATGGGGGAGGACGGCCCGCCATCGCCCACCAGGGTGAGGGGACTTCCTCTTCCTTCGGGGCTCCCCGCACTCCCCACAAGCTGCACCGTGGGGAGTGGCAGCTCATGCAGGGTGGATCTGTGCGTATTGTGCGGACTCCCACGAACTGTGCCCCCGCCGTCTTCCAGTATTTTGCTGCTCCTGGATACCGGCTTTGCCTTCTCTTGGTGGATCTCCCTGACCTGAAAGACCCACAAGTGACCAGTGTCCCATCTCCCAGGGATGGTAAGTTTCCCCTGCCTTTCACGCATTAGGACAGCGCACCTCAGCAAGGCTCATGTGCCTCTCGGGTCTTCTGTCCCTTTAAACTCAGCCTTGAGACCACTGGAGATTGGTCTGCCCTCTGAGGTGGAGGCCCCAGAGCTCAGACCCATGCTACCAGTTAGTCCAACAGGAATGAGAGGGCTTGGGGCATGGCCTGCCTTCTCCCTCTGGCCAGACCGTCATCTCCATCGAGGAGTCCTGGGTAATCATGACTATGGAGGAACAAGAAAACAGCCTGTCGCTAGTCACAGGTGCAAGTCTCTCGGTCCTTCTTTTCAATCCTGGCCTTCCTTCCAGCCATCATACCTCAGTGAAAGGAGTCACTGGTGAGGAGATAATATGCTATTTTTGACAACCCTTAGGCTGTAACTACTTATTAGATCCTTCTTGCATATCTCTGTCTTCCTGAGAAACCACTTTGAAGATACCACCACATACTACAGCAGCCATTGATATTTTCCTGCTAATCTATCCATAACTGTGTTAAGTTTGGAATGTTCCTATCCTGTTTCATAATGTATGTTTATTATTATGTGTTTCCTACAACAACCATTGAGAATAGTTAATGATTTTTCAATAGATCACTCATGTATAGCTCTATTTTTATTCTTTAGAAGCCACTTTGAAGATACCAAAGTATAGCATAACAACTCTTGATAATCTCCTACCTCTTTTGTCTCTAACTTACTATTATTTGTCTATTTGTTTTCCTGAGAAACTATTTTATAGATAATAATACGTAAAACGATAACCATTGATAATTTCCTACCATTTTGTCTGTAATTTGCTAAGTCCCCCCTATTATTATGTTATCCTTCTTTTATTCTTTAAAATAAAAAAAAAAAATAAAAAAAAAATAAACTCAGCCTTGAGCTATGCTCTTAAAAATCAGTCCACATTTGACCCGCAAACTCTCAAAAGGAATGTCTCATTTTTCTGCGCAACACTGCCTGGCCTCAATACAAGCTCGTGAATCAGAAGTGCTGGTCCTTCATGGTACCCAAAATTGTAACACCATCCTACATCTGGTCTTTTCTCCCGTGCACTGAGACCCTCATGGCTCTGTCACAACGTCCTCAGTAACGAAGAGACCACCACACGTGTCTTCTTAGACCCTTCACCATCGGCCTTTCCCGACTCCAGGTCTGACGCTGATGTTCTTGACGGTCCTTCCCTTGGCCACCCTCGGGCCCCAGCCCACACCCGGTCTCTCCCCTCCGAGGAACCCCCTTGACTGCTCTCCCTCAACACCTTGATGCCCCTTCCCCCCTCTGACGCTACCCAACTTAACTCTGTCATGTTAGAAAAACGACAGGACTGCCGAGACCTCTGTTGTATAAACATGATAACTGGTGCTTCCTGGGGAGAATTCTAACCGACTTGTCTGTTTGCAGCTATAAACCTAACACTCAGAAATAAGATTATTAAAACAGGGCCGATACCTCTACCAGTGCACTGAATTGATGTAACTGTCTTTTGTGTCTTGCCTGCTTGTCCGCCTGTTGCTCTGCGTTCATACCAGCTGGCCTCGGGCCTGGGCACTGCCAGACAAAGCCCCCTCCGTGCCTGAAAAAGCAGCTGCCTAAACCCACTTGCCTGTTTTCTCCACAATAGGTGGGATTTCCAGTTTTCCTCAGAGTCCCTGTGTCCCACCTCAATGCCCAGGATTTAGGGGAAATATCACTGTTTGTTGGGGAACAATATGATTTTTTAAAATATTTGTGGAAGCCCACAGTGACCGTAGGGTGGCCCTCTCACAGTGGCAGCGGAGGCTGAGCTGCAAGCTCAATCCTGTGCCGAGCAGCGACAGCGGGGAGGAAATGCTGGACAGGTGCGTGAGCGCACCAGTGCTAGGGGCAAACATCACCCAAATGGTGGAGACCGTAACCTGCCTGGGCCTGCATGAGCTCAAACTGGATCTGAACCAGCAGATGCAGGTAACAGGCAGGGCTCAAGGCCACATAGCAGGTGGGAGAAGCAGCTCTTAGACACTGTACCACCTGCAACTGTTACCCTAAAGTACTATATAAAATGGAAAGACTAGGTGATCCGGTCAGTGCTAACCTCATCGATAGTGTTCTAGCCATGGCCCTCTTCTAAGTATTTTGTTATGTACAGTCCTGATTCTTCTCTAAAATATTGATAATAAAATTTATTTTTAAAAAGACATTTTAAAAAGACAATATGATTCATTTTTAATCAAGTACTATAGACAAATTGGCTATTTCTTTGATTATCTTTGGTAAAAGTTGATAAAATAAAAAATTGTTTCTTGATTCAAATAACTGTTATATAAACTAAATCTGGCTGCTTTGTTTTATATTTTCATTGTACAACATTGTTAATTCTTGTCTCCTACCAAAGAGATCTGATCCAGTACCTTGAGCTGTTGATAATCACCTACAAAGCTGGCAAAATTAAACTTAACAATGGGCTCCAGGTAAATGACCTACATGCTACTCCTAGTAACCCTCTTTGTTGCACAAATTATTTCTACACCTAAATTTTATTCTTCTTTTGATCAAGTCTCTACCTTTTCAGTAGAGGTATTTTTCCTATTTTTTAGCTGTTTTGAAAATCATTGTCTACCGTGAGATCTATAACTTATTTTTATTCATTTTTAGTGGGAGGCACCCGACCCTTTGCTCATTCACTCAGGCACTGGAAACCAGGGAGATGCGCTGTGTCCATTGTGGTTAGAGTAGAACCTGCCCCTGCCCTCCAGTGTGTCCAGGCTGCTTCGGCCTCCAATTCAGGACCAACCAGCAGCCCCCCAAAACCAGGTCCAGACAGGACAGGGCGGCAGGTCCGCTGGGAGTCAGGCTCACAGTCATGTGACTGAGAAATCAGAGGCCTCTCAGTGAAAGATGGACACATTGCAGGCCCACTCTTGGTGCAGGTAGGCACAGATAGGATTAATGTTTCCTGGGGCTGTCTGTGTCTCCAGGATGCAGGACTCTCTTCCTTCACCGTGCCCCTCGTTTCCCTGTAGGTAATGTCACCACACACCTTGGTCCCTAGACAAACCACAGCCAGGACCAGGATGGGAGCAATGGCAGGGTGGCTCTCAGCAATGGCAAGAGAGCTCTCAGCTCTCTTGCTTGAAAGGTGAGGAGCAAATGCTGGAAAAACTCCCTCACCCTCGTCATTGAGCCCAGGCTGCTCAGCGTGGCCCCCCTCACAGGGGCCCAAGAAGTCCCTTTTGTGCCCAGTCTTCAGCCCTGATGCAGATGTCTCCCCTCCCCTGCCCTCTCCAGTGGCTTCCCAGATGCTCCCACCCAGGTCCCAGCCTCACCCAAGTCCAGCTGGAACCATGGCTCATCAGGGGGCCCTCAAGGATGTCATGTGGCCTTATAGTTCTGTGCAATGTTTGTGTATTGAGCTCTGGCCACTGCTAGGGTCAAGGTCTCCCCATGTTCCCCATGACTCCCCCTCCTAGCAGAACTCTTAGGAAGCCAATGCAAGGTCCCCACATGGACAGGCTGAGCCCAGAGTGGTTGCTGAAGTTCTTTATTTGGAGTCAGACAGGGTCAGGGGAGGGATGGGCTGCTGCAGGAGGGCAGTCCATCGGCGTTCGTGCAGTTGGCAGTAGCGGGGTCTCAGGATGTGCAGACCTGGTTGGCAGCTGTGAGGAAAGAGGAACTGAGAGAGGAGCCTGGGACGGGCAGAGGCCAGGCTGCTGCGCGGTCCCACCTGGGCAGCTGTGCAGAACAACCCTGGCCTCTCTATGATCATGCAGCCTCTGGGCATCCTTGGTGGGTATGTAGGGGGGGTGTCAGGGAGTGGGGAGGGGTGATGGTGGTGACCAGCGATGCTTAAGAAAGGATTTCCCCAAGGTCCTGGGAGTTACACTCCAGGCCAGCTCCTGGGGTGACCATTCCTGCTTGGCCCAGGCAGGGTCACTCCTGCCTTTTCGGGATAGGAGTGGAACCGGAGCAGATGGGTCCTCGGATTCCAGGAACCCAGGACTCTGGACCCTTGCAATGTTCTCCCAGAGAGTCACTTACCCAAGTCGTCCTAGGAGACACATTTCTCTGTGGGAACCAAGAAAAGCCAAGGAGTGAGAAGGTGCCCTGGAAGAAGGTCCAGACCCCACCCCACCCGCAACAATACCCTCCCACAGCCAAGACCCAAACCCAGGCCCTTGTGTCCCTGAGAGGGACAAGGGAGAGGTGAGGGACCCAGAGTGACACTGGAAGATGCAGAGGGAGCACCGGCGGGCGTGCAGGAAGGACCCTGTGCTCACTGCTTTGCTGGGGGATGACCATGTACTCCACAGGGATCTTCTTGTGCTTTATGAACTTCTTAAATTCGCGCAGGGCCTCTGGGTTTTCCTCCGGCATCCTCGCTGTGGGGAAAGGGCCGGGGGAGCAGAGGGGGAATGGCCGCTCAGTTCTGCGGGGAGCTAATGACCCCGAGGACACGGCCACCACCCAGCATCAGGGGCTTCACCCTGAGAACGGATGAGGTGCCAAGGTGACCCCATCTGTGCCAGAGACCCCAGGAAGCAGCACTTGGCAGCTATAGCAAGCAGGACCCTTGTCAGCACGGTCAGTGTCTGAGGGCCCGCATGTCCCTGGCACCTCCTGCCTACTGAGCCCCTTCCCAGTCTGGGGCTCACACCCTACCAGAGCAGCATGCCATGCCCAGTGCCCTGAAGGCAACCCGGGGGCTTCTTAGTCCCCCAGTGCCAGAACAAGGCTTCGAGACGGGAAGCTGGGGCCTGAGAGAGGAAGGGCGCCTCACCCATGAGCTTCGCAATGCGCACGGGCATCCCGAAGACCTGGTGCTCAATGTAGAAGATGAGGTGGTCCTTCACATTCATCTCCTCTACAGATACGATCATGTCTTGTGCTGTGCGTGAACAGACAAAATAGCTCTTCAGTGTCTTTGTTCCTAGGAAACACTCTTGAGACCTTAAGGAACAGCCTGGAATGTTTCGGGGGCCACCCAGGAGAGCTAGCCAGCCCGGGGCGGTCCTTGTGGCGAGGCCCCGTGGGGAGGGGGCCATCCTGAGCCGTGGATACAGACCACGGAGGACGAGGCTGGAGCCTGGCCAGAACTGAGCAGCTGCCCTGTCCTGTATCCCAGCCCCTTAGCCCTGTTTCCCCATGTGTCCGCAGCAGGACCACCCAGAAGGTGAGAGGTCAGCCTGTGCTGTAGATAAACCGATAATACCCAGTGTGTGGAATGAGAGCTGCAAGACCTCCAGGAAGGGCGAGGGCAGCTCCTGCAAGGAGGTGGACAGAGAAAGAGCCGCTCCCTCCCCGGAGCTATCACCACGCGGGCTGAGCCTGGGCACAGCTGGGCTGGACTTACTGGTTTTGAATTTTTTAGGATCCTTGGTTCTCTGCATCTCAATGATCTTCTCTTGGCATTTATTCTTATAGCTGGAAAACAGCAGGCTCGTGGGCAGCTGCGCCCCCAGACGCATCTGAGCCCAGCTCAACTCCCCACTTCCACTGGCCCTGACCCGGTGACACCAAAGCTACTCCCTGCCATCAGAGCTATCGGATGCTGCCTGGGACTGTGCCCCCTTAAGGTCAGGGCGCACTTTGCCACCTTTACCCAAAATGCGGCTGGGGACAGAGGAGGAAAGTAGACTTGGGGTCCCAAGGCGGTCAATACTCACGAGAAGGAAAACTGGGCTTCGTAGCTGCCGTCCTCCAGAGCTGTCACTGTCACAGGGAATGACTTCTTGGGCTTCATTCCCTCTGGCATCGGCCTACTGGCTACTAAGGCCTTCAGGTACCAGGTCCCTTCAAACTGAAGCAGGGTGAGCTGTGAGCCCGTTACTGCTTAATCCATGTGCCAGCCCATACGCGAGGCACTCCTGTAACACAGGCCACAGCCCCCAGAGACAGGCAGGGCTCCCACACCATCCACCCTTACCTCCGTGCTCCGTAGAGCAAGCCCGGCACTCAGGGCTCCCAGCTCCCGGCAAAGGGGGAGTACGTCCCCCTCCCTGGGGAAGTGTTCTCTTTGAGGACAAGGCATCAGGCCCAAGTGATTCCTCATCCCCGAGGACCCAGCCCTGCAGAGCCTTCTGGATCTCGATGTCGCTTCCACAAGACCCTTGACCCAGACCCACTTCCCGTTCCAGCCCTGCCCGCACTGGAGCGGCTATGTCTGCTGACAGCACAAGTCCCTCCATGTCTGGCCGCTCTAAACTAGGAGTGCCGCCTCCTGAAAGAGGGTTTCCGCCCCAGCCTTGCTTCTATCCCTCCCCACCACTCCTCCCCGACTCACAGCATTCCTCGCTGGTTCAGCATCCTGGGCCTGCAGGGAAGCCAGCAGACTGAGCAGCAAGATGGCCCATATCACGGTCTTCATCTCCAGACGCTGTGCTCACAGCCGAGGCAGTGTCTGGATGAGCCGAGGGTCTGGACAGCTGTGGCAGCTCCTCACCAGAGGATCGCCTTTATGTTCCTAATTTGTAGTGGCCTGGGAGCACTTGACAATGACCACAGTCCTCCCGCCCCCTGTTGTAGCCAATGACACATGTATCAGGAAGGCGGAATGCTGTTATTGTTGGGATCTGATTAATCAAAACTTAAGTTCATCCAGAGATGAAAACACATGCGATGCCATCCAGGGCTTGTGCACACAAGGGTGCTGTTCACAGACCAGTCTGCCCTGGGGAGATGTACCAGTCCCTTGCAGGATCAGGAGCGAGAGTCTGTGTGCCAGCCAGGAAGGGAGGTCTTGGCTTCCTCACGCGCCCTCTCCACTCTGTCCTGTAGCTGCCTGTGCGTCAGTTCTCAGTAGCTGCACCTTACTTCCCACTGCCGAGGAAGGGGAAGCTGAATCTCAGACCATCCATCTGTTTCTGAGTCCAAGCTCTCCCTGCCCTGGGAACCCACCCTCATTGTCCTTCTCCTCCCTGGGGTGCCCCAACCCTAGAACTTCCAGTGGTGGGGACACTATTTTATGGCTCAAGATCAGTTTATAATATCCACCACCTCAGAGCAACCACTTCCTACACCAGGAAGCTCCATCGCCTCACCACCTTGCCTCTTTCTGTACCCCAGGCCTTCTGTGCTCTCTTTAGAGCACTTCTTACTCTCCTACCTCCCAACTCCATCACCCTGGAGGTGACGTTCCAAGATAACAACTTTCCAGCAGCCCAAGGTGCATCTCAGACAGAGGCCCTCTCAACTTCACACCTGTCTTAACTTTGCCAGTGAAGACTTTATCTCTTTAGCACTTGGAGGCACATAGCAATAGCCATCCAACTAAAAACTTGCCATGATGACTATTTCCCCACAGCTCTAGGGTGCCAGAGACGTTGAAGGTTGTGTTGATTGGTCGTGCATGCCAGTTCGTGGTAGATGTAAGCCGGGGTTGTGTTTTGATTGTTAGTGTATTGCTGTGTGGTGTGTCTGTTCATGGTTTTGTCTTTGGTTCACAGGTCTCCAGAGAAAGAAAGTATGTGAAGGGCTTCATCCATATCCAGACCGTAGGCAAACCACAAGATCCTGAACGTTAGGCGCATATAGTAATTGCAAATACAGAGAGGAGCTGGGAAGGAGTGAGCATATTTTGTACAAGTAAGGATTTGAGTTTTGGGGTTTTGATGGATAATTTGCAGAGATGGCAGCCAAGAATCTCTCCAGTCTGTGGACATAGAGGCTATTTCTGACAGCGAATCAGGGTCTGTTTTCCTATCCCATAATTCTGGCCTGGCGCTGTGAATTGATTGAACAATAGAAGGTGGTAGCAGTGGCATGTGTCTACTCCTTTCCTAGATCTTAAGAGGCTATAAGCTTCTGCTTTCAATTTTTGGAAGCTGTGACCTGTCTTGTTCAGAAGCCCACCCACCATACTGGGGCAAAGCACGGGAGACCATGTGGAGATGGTACACTAGAAGGAGGGGGAGGCCCATCCCTACAGGCTCCAGTCCCGTCTAGAGGTGTCAGACACGAGGTGGAAGCCATCCTGGATCCTCCAGCCAGGGTCCATCATCCCAACCAAAACTGGGTGGCAGAGACACGGGGCAGAAGGCTGGGCAAGTACCCTGGTGCTATTTAAGTGGCCACATTTTCAGCAGTAGACACTGAAACACCACGCCTGTCTGATCTTTGCCTAATTAAATTTCATCTCGGGAACTGTAAAACAGCAAATTCTAATTCTGTCTTCCCTCCTCCATTAATTTTGGCGATTCATGCTATACAGAGCCTTCCTCCTCTACCTCTGTCTCTGTCTCTGTCTCTTGACATTACTAAATTCCATTAACTTACAGCATTGTCTTCAGGACTGAGGGTCTAGCTCAGGGGCAGCATGCTTGCCCTGGGCTTGATCTTCATCACCTCTTCTGCCAAAAATTCAACATATTAGAGAAAATCGCATTCATTATGAATTTTCAAGGAAAACTTGTCCTCGAAGTATCAAATCCATGCAGAAGAGTGCAAAACTCCTCAGCAATCCACATTCTGAGCACATTTGAATGCACCTCCCAGAGAGCACAGACCTCTCCCAAGAGGACATTTGGCCAGAATCCAGTCCAAGTAGTCACGATTACAGGCCCCTCCCAGGAGCGGCCATGGCTACCACATAGCACCACCATGCCTGGAAGGGCACCGAGGCAGCCTTGTCCCCAGAGCCCCCTGGAGTCCATGCTGGGTTGTACTGTGGCTGTGCCCACTCATCCCCACCAGCTCCAGGGTGCTGCACCTCTGGGTCAGGTTCCTTCCCCCCAGCCCACACTTGGCCCCCACTCCCTGCCTGCAATCGGAGCTCTGTGGGATCTGTGCAGGTGCCCTCCTCAGGGGTCACCCAACCCCAACTCCAGCCTCTGTGGAGTTTTCCAGACCCTCTTTGGAGTTTGGAGTTTTCCGGCTCCCTGGGGCTGACACCGTTCTGGAGCCCCCAGCCATGATGGATGGCCTCAGCTCCAAGGCCAGGCTCAGAGGGCACCCTCTCAGCTTTGTGTGGGATCATCTGGGGTCCACTGACCCGGATTCAAGCCCACCTCTGGGCCACACCACAGCCCTGTGAGAGTCGGAAGCAAGGGTGACCTCTCAGCTCATTTTTCTTGCTTGGGAATGGATCAGTGATTACATTGTGACAGTGGGTTGAGGAATAAAGCAGGGAGATGAAGGTGCCCAAGGGGGCTGGACTCTGGAGATCCCCTGAGAGAGACCCCAACACAGATGAGGCTTCTGACTGTGATGGAGGATGAATGAAGAGCGATGATTCCAACTCCCCCAGGCATGGCTGAGCACAGTTACTTAGAGCTGAGTGGCCTTGAGTGCTGGTACAGGGACAGAGGACACACGGCTAGCCATGTGGAGCTCCTAGTGTGAGGTGTGCAAGAGGCCAGGGGTCACATGCACATGCACATTTTGTCTCAGGCCCTGGCAGGCCCCATCTGTGTGTTAGACAGTGGACATGAGGCCTAGTCACCCTGAAATGCCCTCTGCACCCATGGGAGGGAGGCTCTATGCCGCCCCAGCATCAGGCGTGAGGGAGGGGCCAGAAGAAGGGAGGCTCTGAGTCCCATGGCCGACGCTCCCTCAGACAATCGGGAAATGAGGGCAGGACAGACCGGAACTGCCCATGACATTGGCAGGGCTGGGGGTAGAGTGGAGGACTACAGCATCCTGTGCCAGACTCAGCCCTTCCGTGGGTCAGCTTTAGAAAGGAAGGCTCTACGATCCTGGAGATCCCTGCTCGCCTCTCCCACGTGGCCCCTTTTCTCTGCTTTACTAGGTCCACCCAGAAGGGCAATCACACATGGGCCAGGGATATAGCTGAGTGGCATAGGTGCCTGCCTGGCAGGTGCAAGGTCCTGAGTTTGATTTCCGGTACCAAAAAAAAAAAAAAGTACAATCACATAAACATGTGCGTATACATGTTGAATAGCCATGATGCAGACCAGAGGAGCAAGGGATGCTGGGGAGGTAACAGGGAAAAAGGAAGAGGTCAGAAGTAGCCAGGGAGGGAGGTGTGTCCTTCCGGGTCACCCCTCCAGTGATTTGCCTCTTCCAACCAGACCCCACCTCCTCACATCTAGTCAGTAATTCAATCCACTTCCAAATAATTCAATCCACTTCCAAAAGCCGTGCCTATGAGTGTGTGAGCATGTGGGGGGACATTCTTGATCTAAACCATAACAAGCACCCTGCCAGAGCATGGCTACTCGGGCTTGAGCTGCACCAAGGATTAAGAGGAGGCTTAAGATGAATATGAACACATCTTGGAGATCAGCTTCACAGTGGGGACTGTAGTTTGTTCCACTAATCATCCATTTGAATTGTTTCATAGGTTGTGGCCACACCCACACTGAAGCCTGAGATGCAGAACAAACTCAAGTTACAGCTTGAGTAGGTCAGGGAAAGAGGTGAACTGAGGTAGGAGGTGCTGATGACTGGCCATCTCGGCCCACCTACAACTGGAAGCACGTCCTCAAAGGAGGAGTTGGTCTGACCCGCCTCTTCTTTAACATTCTAGGAATATTTATTTCATTCCTGACCAGTAGGCTCCAGCACACAACTCTCAACAATGAGCTGCCTCCCTCACTCCCACAAAGCCACCAAATGCTATGGTGCCACTGTTTAGGTCCTCCGCCTTTCAAAGATTTGCTGCCAATATCATTATGTAAGGAATAAACCTTTGAGGGACTGAACAGCACTTATTCTCTGTAAAAGATAACCTCTGACTTCACGCACAAAACTCCAGTGAGCAAGTTTTAGGTCCATAAATAGAAAGAAAATATTGCCGGGCATGGTGGTGCATTACTGTAATCCCAGCACTTGGGAGGCTGAGGCAGGAAGATAGTTGTGAGTTTGAGACCAGCCTAGGCTACAAAGTGAGCTCAAGGTCAGCCTGAACTGCATAGCGAGACCATGTCTCAAAGAGGTAAAAAAAATTATTCTAGTTTTGTAAATTATATGGAATAAAATAAGCATTTGTACTTGCTTTGTTATAAGGAAATAAGACTATTTTTCCCTACCAGGAATCAGAACAGTAACTGTGATGATTCCTTTGGGTCATAAACTGCCCACTAGTTATCTTTTCTGAGATGTTCAGAAATAAGAAGTTGGCTCATCTGCCTTATAAAACTTAAAGAAATATTTGCAGTATTTGCAGGAGTTACAGGTAATTCATGCGGTAGACTCTTGCAATAACATTCAGGAGGCCTATTCTCTTCATTCAAAAAACTCCATCCTGGTAGGTAAAAGGAAACCCCCATTATCCCTGAGCAAGAAAGGAGAAATAATTATCAGTACTTTTATCAGTTAGTAGAAACTGCTGTGAATGTGTTATCTCTCTCTGGAGCGTTCTCAGAGAATTCACATAAACTGAAACAGGAATGGCGTGCCCTCAGAGACCTCTCACACAAGTAAGTGTAGCTACAGGTCTGAGTGGGTGATCTTCGAGTTTTAACTTCAATAACTGTACAGCCAAACATTTTAAAATTTGAAGGATCCAGA